ATAAGACTGAGAAATCTGGAACTGAGACCCACAGAATAAAGCTTAAACCATAGTGCCTGCCTATTTATGTAATCGAAAGCCTTTCGAAAATCAACGAAACTAGCGTATAACTTCATTCCCTTACTCAGAGAAAGATTAATCAAACCATGTAAAACAAATATACAATCCACAGTACTGTATTTTCCTCTAAAACCAGCCTGCTCTTCGACAAGGATTGAATAATTTGAACACCACGCAGCAACCCGTGAGTTAAGAATACTTGTAAATAATTTACCAACAACTAATAGTAAAGTGATACCTCGGTAGTTATCTGGCAAGTACTTGCTGCCTTTCTTGTGTATTGGCACGATTATGCCTTTCGTCCAATCTGTAGGAAACATTCCTGTGTGTAGAATAACATTAAATAATTTCTTGAGAACTGGAACTAAAACCCTTTCACCTTCTATCAGAAACTCGTTGATAATTTTATCGACTCCTGCCGATTTACATGTTTTTAGTTTTCTGATTGCCTTAACTATTTCACCATCATTTATATCGTCATCAAGCTCATCCACATATCGCTGGATATCCACACCCTCCAATTCCTCTGTATCTCCAACCACAACATCCCCTAGCGGAGGAGCACTACCTGGATTCAGTAAATCCTTGAAGTAATCTACAAAATTACATAACTCCGGTAAACCTTCTCTCGGAATACCCGCTTTAACCTTATTCCAGAATTTTCTAGGCTCAGTTTTACTCAACGTAACTAAGCCTTTAGCTTCCTGTACATCATGATTTCTACACTTTCGACGACAGATTTTCCTATAACTACTCCGACGTTCAACCATATGTTGTCTATCCCCAGAGTTACCCGAATCAAAATAAACCTCTTCCGCGTGCTTGAAGTCTGACCTAGATTTCTGACACTCGTCGTCAAACCATCTGCCCCCACGAGAAGCACGTGCAAGGTTACGCCGACCAACCAAGTGCGGCTCCCCTGCATATTGCATTACATCGACAAGTGTATGCACACATTTATCTATTTCAGCTTTACTAATGTCAGTTTTATCTAACATTCTACAAATATTGTCTAGTTCACCACTAACATGACTAGAATTCATCAAATCAGAAAATACATCTTTCTTTCCACTGTTCCATTTATAATAATTGCTAGATTCATTATGTAATTTATTTCCTAAAGTAGAAACATTGGTTAGCTTAAAACTTAAGTAAAAAATCTGATAAAATTGGAAACATATCAATACTTGTAATTACATAATCTATAAGGCTCTGGCCATGCTTATTGAAAAAGGTACACATACCTATATTCTTATCACTGCCACTTCTGCCGTTTACTATTCTTAGCTGATTTGACTTACAATAATTAAGCAATCTTAATCCATTCTCATTGACTATTTTGTCTTGTGAAACTCTCGTAAATCTACAGTTTATACTATTGAAATATTTTTCTCAATGTCATCCAGGATATAATCCTCCGGTAATGGAATGTAGTCTATATCAGATAACGATTCAAGCTCAATATAGTCAGGCTTATCAGCAGTTCTTGAATTGAAGTCACCGGTAACAAAAATATCTCCTTTTTGTTTGTATTTCGCTGTATATTCCGATAAACAATCAAACGTGTCCAGGCCAATGATAACATCTTTCCGCGACGAGTTCGATGGAATAACATAAACAAAGATTAAAATAGATCTCTCCTGAGTTTAAACACAGCCTTATCTAGGCAAAATATAAAAATGTCTTCGCAGTCACACTGTATTTCTTTCACACCATGTGCCAAATTGTCTGCAAAGTAGGCGACGAGCCCACCAGAGTCGCGCCTTGCTCTCTTCCTCCTTCTTCTGTATTTGGTGTTGGTAGTATATCCCTGTAGGAAAGTATGTAGATGATCGTTGCCCCATGTTTCTGATAGTAGAACAATATTGTGTTTGTCTACAACATCCACAAAGTCCATGGTTTGTAACTTGGTTCGCAAGTCCCCATGTATGTTCCAGGCTAAGACCTGCACTGCCCCAGACTGTGACTCCTAACTGGTACCCATCCTAGTGCGTTCCAGAGCAGGCTCTTCTCGGACCATTTCGCCATCGACGAACAGTCTCGCAGGGTACGCAATATAGGCTTGTCTTCCTTGTCTTCTTGCGTCTCTCAACTGGTCTTTCAATTTTTCTCTGGCTTCTCGTATTTCTCGAGGGAAATCCTCACTCACTGAATAAGGTTTTCCCTTTAGCACTTTTCTTGCTCTTTTCACAGTTTCCCTGTTTAAAGTCCAAGAAAAACAGTATTATAGGTTTTACCTTTCTAGTTGAATCCTCTTTTCCCAGTTGATGTGCACGGGATATTTTCATACTTTTCACTATTTCCACAGAAATCTTCATTTCCTCAACCATAAAATCTTTCACTAACTTCTCACAATCTTCTTCCCCTGCTCTCGACTTCAGTCCGTGAAATATCATATTATTACGGCGACTTCTCGCCTCCTGATCCAACATTTTACTTTCCAACTCTTGTATTTTCTTCAACAGTGCGTTTGTCGTGCTTTTCATGTCTGACTTTACATCATCAACCGACCTTTTTACACTTTCAACATTTCCTGACGTGACATTCCGTTTTGAGTGAAGCTTGTCAAAACGTTCGTCGTGTTTGTTCAAACGTTTCTCAATATTGTTAATTGTTGTATTTGTGTCACTTACAGTCTTATTCAAACGGAGCAAAGACGAATTTACCTCAGCCAGTGTTGTTGTCACTTCTTCCAGCTTGGACTGTACTTGCACGAACTTCTCGGAGTGAGTGAGACTCGGCGCCATGCAAGCTATCACTGTCATCGGGTGTTGAGCCTTCGCGTTTTCTTTTCTTCTCTTGTTCAGCCTTTTCCTTGTTTATATCCTCATTCACTTCTTTCTGTTCATTCTCCATGGTGTTATAATGTAGTAGGTCAAAATTTAGATTGAAATAATGTTAAATTCAACAGTTATCGAGGTTTTCGTACAGAGCCAACGTAAAGACAACTTGATGCACCCACGCATGCGCAATCAATTTAAGATAAGACAAGATAAGATAAGATAATTCTTTATTGTCCCAAGGGAAATTTGTTTTGCATCATACGTTCTCCAGTTTTACATTCATAAAGCAGCCATACATAACATTGCAATTGGTAATCATGAAATAATCAGGATATAAATACATCAATTTAGTACACAAACATAGATATTGAATAGAATTTGGACAATTAAAAGAAGTCATTCACAGAATTTGTTGTTAATGCATCTAATACTAGCTGGAACAAATGAGTGGCGAACCCTGTTTGTTCTAAAAGTCGGCATACGCAGCCTGCATCCAGAAGGTGGTGATGAATTTTCAGAAAAGAGTATGTGAGTAGGATCACTTAAAATTTTGTTTGAATTTTTTGAAATTTGCTGCTCATAGCAACTGTCGATGCTTTCGATAGGAAGCCCAATAATTTTAGAGGCAGTGTTTACGGGTTTTGAAAGTTTGTTTTATTCTGAACAGACAGGTTCCCGAACCAACTCAAGAAATTAAAGTTTATGACACTTTGAATAAAGGTTTTGTAAAATAACCGTTTTTATGAAACCGTTTTTTTTGTTTTTTTCTGAAACGGGTTTCGGTTCGAAACCATTACAATAACAAAAAATACGCTAGTTTGTCAATTTAATGCATGCAAGACGTGGGTAATAAATATAATACCACACTCGGTCTCATCACATACGAATTATACGAAACTCGTGACCTTCCTATGGTATCTGACCGAGCGAAAGCATAGGAAGCACACTCGTTTCGTATAATTCGTATGTAATGAGACCTTGTGTAGTATTCTCTATATACGTATCTTGATCAATTATGCCAATGAATGAGCACATGAGCAAAGATCCAGGTAATTAGAGTAATCAACAGTCACAGAGTAATCAACAGAGTCACAGAGTAATCAACCATGTGATACAGAGTAATCAACAGTCACAGAGTAATCAACAGAGTCATAGAGTAATCAACAGTCACAGAGTAATCAACAGAGTCACAGAGTAATCAACCATGTGATACAGAGTAATCAACCACGTCACAGAGTAATCAACCACGTCACAGAGTAATCAACAGAGTCACAGAGTAATCAACAACGTCACAGTAATCAACCATGTGATACAGAGTAATCAACCACGTCACAGAGTAATCAACAACGTCACAGAGTAATCAACAACGTCACAGAGTAATCAACCACGTCACAGAGTAATCAACAACGTCACAGAGTAATCAACAGAGTCACAGAGTAATCAAGTCACAACGTAATCACAGAGTAATCAACCATGTGATACAGAGTAATCAACCACGTCACAGAGTAATCAACAACGTCACAGAGTAATCAACAACGTCACAGTAATCAACCATGTGATACAGAGTAATCAACCACGTCACAGAGTAATCAACAACGTCACAGAGTAATCAACAACGTCACAGAGTAATCAACCACGTCACAGAGTAATCAACAACGTCACAGAGTAATCAACGTCACAGAGTAATCAACAACGTCACAGAGTAATCAACCACGTCACAGTAATCAACCATGTGATACAGAGTAATCAACCACGTCACAGAGTAATCAACAACGTCACAGAGTAATCAACAGAGTCAGAGTAATCAACACGTCACAGTAATCAACCATGTGATACAGAGTAATCAACAACGTCACAGTAAGTAACCGCTTTTCACAGAGTAATCAAGTCACAACGTAATCAACTATGTCAAAGAGTAATCAACTGCGTCACAAAGTAATCAACCACGTCACAGTACGCAATAGAGTATTTGGGACCTTGTTTACCCCGAGACCATACGTGGTCGACGAACTAACAAAAGGGGTTTATTTGCTGCGCCATATCCGGGCCGACTGTCGATAACACCCATGGACGGGTCGTGTGTTGAAACCTGTAGCGTAGGTGGGTCTCTCAACTCAACAATCTCACTCGGTGTTTTCGGACTGGAGTTTTTGTCGAGTCAACATTGATATCACATGATGAGTTTTTCCCGGCCATTTTGCCTTCGTCTTTCACAACGAAATATACACGGATTCATAGGAAGGAGGATATGTCTGCCACAGGTAGGCCCTTCAGACACTCATAGGCAGCTACCCGTGCAGAATGAACCTTCAGTAACCCATGCTTGTCGTAAGAGGCGACTAACGTGATCGGGTGGTCAGGCTCGCCGACTTGGTTGACACATGTCATCGGTTCCCAATTGCGTAGATCAATGCTCATGCTGTTGATCACTGGATTGTCTGGTCCAGACTCGATTATTTACAGACCGCCGCCATCTAGCTGGAATATTGCTGAGTGCGGCATAAACCTCAACTCACTCACTCACTCATAGGTAGCTAAGGAGGTCTTTGTTTGCGTGTGTTTGCGTTTTAAAAAAATAGTGTTAGTTTGTTAAATTAGACTATAAATTTTAGACATTTTATGGTCGCTGCTCTGGCACCCAACGTGGGGTTGAGCACGTTCATATAAAATTTGAGCAAAATACGTCTCAGTAGTACCCTGCTATGCGGCAAGGGACGTGCCTTCTGCTGACGAGCGAGTATGTAGCAGGGCGTGGAGTCATCCCACAGATAACATCGTTATCTTGTCAGCTTGCTTTCTTTGGTCATGTGGAGAAGGCGTCCGACTTCGGATCAGAAGGTCCGTGGTTCGATTCCCAGCACGGGACTCGGGAATTTTATAACCGCTTCAGTTAGTGTGTGAATTCGTGTTTTCGAGTGTGCGTTTATTAAACACGTACTATACGGACCTACTGTTTAATATTCGGGCGTAGAAAGGATGCCGGCTTATCCTGCAGTTCGAAACGTGGAGCCAGTTCTGCTCTGGACTCAATAATGCCAGGAGCTCTTTATACGTTGTCCGCAAAAGCAAAACGTATCTACCAAATTTCTTCCAGCGAAACCTGACTGAGAAAAGCAAGATTTATGGATGTCAACTTCTTTATTGTGAAAAACACGACGTTTCGGAGTATATGCTTACTCCTTCATCAGGTGACTGACTCATTTCAAACTTCCTATACCCATAATCCTCCATCAAAAAGTATGTGCTATATCTCCTCAAGGCTAAAGATCCCTTCAAGATTCGGGTTAGAATTTACCTTCAGCAACTCACGTTTGTCTCCTTGATAATCAGAAAATCATGCTTGTCTACTGCCCTGAAGACTCCGGTAAGAATTGATCTTCAACAACCTATGCTTGTTGTAAAAGCAGACTTTCTGGATTGGGTGGTCAGATTCGGGGACTTAGTTGATGGACGTCATCGCATTCATACAGCTGCAATATTGCTGAGTGAAGCGTTAACTACGTAACATATTGTTGAAAATCTATATCCATCTCAATCTTAATCACTTAGCCCCAAATACTATACCCTATTTCCGAATAAGAATCTGAATCGGTAAAAATCACTGGCTGTTTTTGGAAAACAAGATGGCTGCACAAACGGAACCGCTTCTGGCATTCGCTTACCAACGGGAAAGAAAACCGATGTAAATGGCACATTATAAATGATTTAACACAAACATCTTATCTTCCAGGTTCAAGATGTACATGAAGACCATATTGATCAGTGTACTGGCGCTGCTGGTGCTTCAACACGCTGTCAAGTTCTAGTAAGTATTCCTAAAACTGTCCATATCAAAACTACCTCAATGTTATCATTGGTGTTAAATGTAAACACATAGTTGACAAGGAGCTGTCCTACTCAACAGAAAACATTAGATTAGAACATTGACAGGTGTGAGGGTATGTCGTACAACACCCAACACTGTTACTCCTCACAGCCAATGCCAATAGTTTCAGTTACATGTTAAGGAATAGCAGACACTGAGGAATATCTAGTTCTTTCTTTTTAAATTTTAGTTTCAAGATGGGTTACAGCAAACATATCTTCAACCATTACCCCGGACCCTGCCACCAGGTGCAAGGGATGGGTAAGCCAGTTCTGTACCGTAAATCTAGCTCTCGGCATTTCGTGGAATAAACCGAAAGTTCGTCACCCCTCACAGCATTCTTGTCATATACCATGTTTTATTTCCGAGCAGCAATATTCGTGCGATTCCACAACTGCTCGTAAACAATCCAATTTGGGTCAGACAAACTCAGTCACAGAGCCTGACTACCCTACCCAGTATAGTCGACACTAGCGACATGCGATAAATGGCATCGATGCTCATGCTGTTGATCACTGGATTGTCAGGTCCAGACTCGATTATTTACAGACCGCCGCCATATAGCTGGAATATTGCTGAGTGCGGCGTAAAACTCAACTCACTCATTCACTAAATGGCAAGCAGTATTTTGTAATAATCCCCAGTAGATAAATTCACCTCAGTTATGAAATTAGTCAAATATATGGAAGGTTTGTGTTTGTACAAATGAAATCTATCAGTTAATTGCATCTTTTTCACTGTTACCTTGTACAAATTCATATTGTTCATTTTGTAAACTATTTGTTTGTTCTCTATGTCACAACATGTGATTTATGAGCTTAAACTTCTTCTTCTGCTAATGATCCTGGGGCTGGGTGGTTGGGTGATTGGATGGGTGTTTGTGTAACATACAGACTAATAGGTCACTCTTTCGGTTTATTATTGTATGACTAATCACCGAATAAAATGAGTAAATGTAGCAAAGGGGTTCGGATGATCCTGGCACAGTCAGATTGGTTAGGTTTCCCGCCAGATCAGGACCCTTGCGCCCTTTGCACACAGCCGAGACAGAGAATGGGACTTCTCAAAGGAAGTCAAACCAAGCCATTTCAGGGGAAGGGGAAGATTCATCGGCACTGCGGCCCTCTGCAATACCACGAGTGTCAGAAGGGCAGTACTGAACCATCAACAGAATCAACATTGAGATTGTGTTCAATATCCGTGTCTCTTTATAACTGTGGAATGTCATGGTTTCATTTTCATCATGTGCCTTCACGTAATTCACAAAATAGTCATCAGACAAGAAATGGGTGCAAAACATACACCATAAAAGTATTTCTTGTAATTATTGTTTGTCTTCAGGTATCGGCTCAGAGGACATGCACTTGATGGACAATGGTATCGTGTTCATTTCTTCCGTAAGTATCAGGGCCCCGTTCCTCAAAGCGATTGTAGCGCTAAGATGATCACAACTCCCACACTTTAACATAGACTTACAACTGTCGTAGCGCTACGATCGCTTTGAGGAACGGGGCCCAGGACATAATTAAATACAAGTTTGTAAAAACGTCTTGATGTATCACTAAGCCTTTTGCCTCTGTACGATTGTACTTTATCTGTATAATTACTTTGAGATCTTTGTCAATGTACATGTAAAATATATGCGATGAACTGAAAATATATATAACAACCAGTTCAGAATGTGGTCCTGTTAAGGTGAAAATGGATGGGATATACGCCAAATATTAAATATTTTCTCTGTTTCCATTATATTATCTCCACGAGCAGGTTGGGAAAATGGGGACAGAAAAGGAAGATGGCATAACGGGATGACGTAATGATTGCATTAACTGAAACCAATAAAGGATTAATGGTATGATTATAACACGTACCCATGGCTGTGTTGACGCCTGGTAAAAGCGAGGTGACCGTTTCCAGGGGTTTCGTATGAAAGCACATTCCGCAGCATTTGACAAGTTCTACTCCGAGAACATGGTCAAGGGCAGGATCTATCTGTTCGACATGAACAACCCCAAGAAGGAGGTCCAGGAGCTGAGTCTGACCTCCACCAAGGAGTTCGACAAGGACAGGTTTCAGCCCCTTGGTATTAGTGTGTGGGAGGACAAGAAAACAGGTGGGTGGATAAGGTTTTGTAAGAAGCAGGAATCCCTGTATTGTGCTACATGTTAAGCTGGTATTGTGATAGATGTGATGTTGGGTTGGATTTGGTCGTTTGAGGCCGACTTTGCATTCTGTTTTGACGTGCATTGTATACAAGATGCACAATGTGTGAAGAGGTGAGGTATGAAGATCCTCTGTTTTCAGGTAAATTGTACCTGTATGCTGTTAATCACGAGAGAGATGGTGAGGAGAAAATAGAGAGAAATTCCTGGTGTCAGTTGCCAAGCTGTCTCTTCAACATCTGAAGTCCTACTTTGGAGATCCAGCCATAAAACAGTGAGCACGATGTGGGATCCGTTGTGAACGTACACGCCCTGCATTTAGAACTAGAGGGCGTCCTACGTTGTAGTCGTAGTATATGCGATACTGGGATAACCTGCCGTCGACCATCAAGTTTTCCCAACCTTTCCTTATTCGTATATGGGATTTAAAACAATCAAAATTCAACTGGAAAATTTATTGGATAAAGTTGGGTGCAGAGTGCACATTGGAGCATATTGTCTTGTTTCTGTTTTCGAATGAGAATACGGAAATACGATAATGCATATTCTGAAAAATATAATTCATTTTTTGTCCAAGGCCCCCTTTTTGTGTGGAAATTGCTGGTTTGGCAAAATTAATGATGTTTTATAGCTGCATTTTGTTAAGTTCTTAAGAAACAACCCTGACGTGTGCGATTAAACGAAGGTGCATGGGTTTTATGCTGTTGTGAGTGAGTGAGTGAGTGAGTTAGGTCTTGAAGCTGTTTGAACAAAAATTTCAGCCATACCACGGCATGTCATTCTAATGTGGAAAGAAAGCCCGGAGTGATGCAAGTTTTAGTCATTTAACACTGGTGAAACCCACGAACATGGACGTGGTGCCGACTAACCTAAAAACCTTATCAGGGAGAACCGAAATTCGAACAAACAATCGCAGGTTTCTTCAACGAGTTTTCTATCCTTAAACGTTGTTCCGGAAATCGATGACATTCCTGATACTGAACTTACTTATTTCCGGGTGATGGTTTCTTTCCAGGCTGAACGACGTCATTGCCACTGGTGACGACAGCTTCTACTTCAGCAACTACTTCTTGTCATCCAGCTATATTGGGCGTATGCTGGAGAGGATGTCGTTCATGGCCTGGACCAACGTGGGCTACTATGACGGCAAAGGATACCGCACAGTATCCGATGGAATCATCATGGCCAACGGTATACAGATGTCCAGAGATGGAAAGTGAGATCATCTTCACAATACTGAATATTATTTCCTGCGGTTTATTTATCTGAACTGTGTTAAATACTTGTAGCAAATATTGTATTCATTATCAGTTCTACAGCCTTATTCAAAATTATAAAACATTTCTTACAAACACTAAACGTTTGTCCAATTAAGGTTTCGGTATCCCATTGGTATGCAACGCCAGTGGAAATAGCAGTGTAAATTGTGTACCTTGGAATATAGTTGTTTGCTGCAACCTGCTTGATAGACAGTCGGTATTTAACGGGATTCCAACTACTAAACAAGCCAGGAAGTTTCCATTTACAGTGTATCAATACATTATTTCAAAAGTAACCTTTTCTTCTCAATCAATCTTGGAAAAACGCTTCATTCCGTTTGGTGACTAGGGTACAAACGAAAACAACCACGCATGTTCATTTATCGTTGTGCAAGAACTTTATCCATGTTATTGTTACATGATAGCACACACACACAAAGGTGTCAGTCGTATGTCTGTAATATATGACCCTCATCTTGTCGCCCTAACCAGGTTGGTTTGTTTGTTGGTTGGTTTCTTGGTTTGTTATTTAAATTCACGCTCAGCAATATTCCACCTACATTGTACATGGTGGCGGTCTGTAAATCAAGGAGTCTGTACCAAACAATCCAGTGATTAACAGCATGAGCATCGATCTACGCAATTAGGATACGATGGATTATGTCAACCAAATCAGCGAGCCTGACCACACGATCCCGCTGGTCGCCTTTAACGACAAGCATGTTTATGTAAGACCAATTCTAACCCGTATCTTCAAGGGTCAAAACCAATACGGTGTCGCGTTTCAGGTACGTCTTCGTCGCAAGCAGCATGGGTCACGAGATGAAGATATACGAGAGATGGAACAATAACTCCTTGACCTTGAAGCAGGTACGCCAGTAACTGACAGTACTCAACATATTCTCAAGCAAATCGCTTTCTTGTGAACGTAATTTAGATGATTAAGTTAAAAGTATACTTTCTCTGTAAAAGAAACACAATGAGAAACGGGTACAGTTGATTTTTGGTATGAAGAAGGTTGACCATGCATGTATGCCACTGCTTTACGACGACGATGAACACGATGACAACGTTGTGATGCTGTTTCGTATGAACCTACATGCAATACACTTCTTCTTTCCTAGTCATATGTCTTCCACACGTTTCCCGACAATATCGTGGAGGACCCAATATCCGGGGATTTGTATGTAGCCTTTCATCCAATCGGACACCTTTTGGCACAACACGTGACCGACCCATCTTCAGAAGCGCCATCTCAGGTATTAATCAAGGCATTTAGACGTTGACGGTTTTCGAACTGGTAGTATATACGTGGTTTGTAAATATCATAATCTTTATATTGGTGTTCAGCGACTTACATATTTCGGATATTGATTAGAGATGTTTTATAAAAAATGATTGATCCAAGTTGTGCTAATTCAAATGCCTAGAACATATTTTTATGTGTGGATCTCAATGAAACATTTTTTCTCCCTTGTTCACACAAAAGGCAACAGATTAACACAGTTGATAGACATTACGTGGACGTATACTTGAGGAGGTCTGGGGATACTGCGTGGATATTTCAAAACTTCACACATATAAGCCGTCGATTACTATTGAAATATAAGCACAAAACACCTTTTTGACCAGGACATGAATTTGTACTTCTTCACAGACATGGGCTTTCAATAAAACTTGGACATCAACTTTGACATGGAGTTAAAATAAATGTCAAAATGTGTTCAGTGTTGTTGTTCAGGGTACTGTTGTACAAACCGACCTTATCGCTAAGACTGCATTAAGTCTGTATTAAGGTATGGGTGTTTCTCTTACCTTAGCGCTGAGATCGCTTTGTACAAACGGCACCCAGGTAAAGTTGGTCGTGACAATCAGTGGAATTAGTAATCCCTCCTCATATTTTTAGCTTGTTGCTCCTTAATACTTCCTTCACACCAGTTAGGTCTACAAATTGGACTTTGACCTAGACTTGGCTGTCACGTGTTCCAGATCCTGCAGGTGAAACTGAAGGAAGGGACGGTGTCCTCGGTGACGGAACTGTTTGTTGATGACGGACACCTGGTGTCGGGCTCATCAGTTGCAGTTGTGTACAAGAAGAAGATACTGATTGGCTCCGTGATTAACAAACTCGTGTATTGTGATGTAACTGTGCTCTTGTAAAATGTAGAAATATTTAAAATTCTTAGAGCTTTTAACTAGCATATTTTCATAATAAAAGCGAAAAACACACACTTCTAAAGCACGCTTCATATAATATTCATATGTTTATCAATCGCTTTCAAATACTGATGATAGTGGTTGCGTTCATAAACACACGCAGAGGCGCGGTAACCTACCTGAACCAACACGGGTTGTGGGAAACAAAAGGCTGAAGCTGTATGGCTCGACATACAGGGACATATCACCACGGCAAAGATCCCCGGTCACCCCTGTTGTCATACGCTTTTAGATATATGATTATCACCCTGAATATTTATTCATAGAGGGGTAATTATAAGTCAGTGAAACAGAATTGACTATCAAATTATTTAACGATATCGGGAAGTCACCAATGCTGCATTACTGTCGAGTGATAGCAATTCTTATCAATTACATTTTATATCTTTAGCAATAACTGTAGTTAATTACCTGTAAGAAAACATTAGGCAACCATATGCACTCATCGTTTGTGAGAACGATGGGGTAGCCTTGTCGTTAAAGCATTCGATTCCCCACATGGGTACAATGTGTGAAGTCCATGGCTGGTGTCCCCCGCCGTGATATTGCTGGAATATGCTGAATGCGGCGTGGAACTATTGCTAAAAATGCGGGCGTATACGATGGGTAACTTGAGAGGCCGCTCCAAAGAGGAAAAGAGGGAAAGATAATATATAATATAATGGGGAGTTAAAGTAGAAAACACCCAAATAATCAGCTGACAATTCACAACTGACACAAGCGTGAGTGAATGAGTTTAGCTTCACGCACCTTTTAGCAATATCAGGGCGGGGACACCAGAATTGTTTTCACATGGTACCCATGTGGAGATTCGAACATACATCACCAAGGTTACTGTACCCATTCTCATCAAATATTCATACATCACCAAGGTTACTGTACCCATCCTCATCAAATATTCATACATCACCAAAGGTTACTGTACCCATCGTCATCAAATATTCATACATCACCAAGGTTACTGTACCCATCGTCATCAAATATTCATACATCACCAAGGTTACTGTACACATCGTCATCAAATATTCATACATCACCAAGGTTACTGTACCCATCCTCATCAAATATTGATACATCACCAAGGTTACTGTACCCATCCTCATCAAATATTGATACATCACCAAGGTTACTGTACCCATCGTCATCAAATATTGATACATCACCAAGGTTACTGTACATCCATCGTCATCAAAGTTACTGTACCCATCGTCATCAAATACATCACCAGGTTACTGTGTACCCATCGTTACATTAGGTTGTACCCATCGTCATCAAATATTGATACATCACCAAGGTTACTGTACCCATCGTCATCAAATATTGATACATCACCAAGGTTACTGTACCCATCGTCATCAAATATTGATACATCACCAAGGTTACTTGTACCCATCCTCATCAAATACCCATCGATACATCACCAAGGTTACTGTACCCATCGTCATCAAATATTCATACATCACCAAGGTTACTGTACCCATCCTCATCAAATATTGATACATCACCAAGGTTACTGTACCCATCCTCATCAAATATTGATACATCACCAAGGTTACTGTACCCATCGTCATCAAATATTCATACATCACCAAGGTTACTGTACCCATCCTCATCAAATATTGATACATCACCAAGGTTACTGTACCCATCCTCATCAAATATTGATACATCACCAAGGTTACTGTACATCACTGTACCCATCCACATCAAATATTCATACATCATACCCATCGTCATCAAATATTGATACATCAAAGGTTCATACATACCCATCGTCATCAAATATTGATACATCACCAAGGGTTACTGTACCTGTACCCATCGTCATCAAATATTCATACATCACCAAGGTTACTGTACCCATCCTCATCAAATATTGATACATCACCAAGGTTACTGTACCCATCCTCATCAAATATTGATACATCACCAAGGTTACTGTACCCATCGTCATCAAATATTGATACATCACCAAGGTTACTGTACCCATCGTCATCAAATATTGATACATCACCAAGGTTACTGTACCCATCGTCATCAAATATTGATACATCACCAAGGTTACTGTACCCATCGTCATCAAATATTGATACATCACCAAGGTTACTGTACCCATCGTCATCAAATATTGATACATCACCAAGGTCAAATATTGATACATACCAAGGTTACTGTACCCATCATCAAATATTCAAACATCACCAAGGTTACTGTACCCATCCTCATCAAATATTCATACATCCTGAAGGTTACTGTACCCATCGATCGTCCAAGGTTACTGATACAATATTCATACATACACCAGTACCCATCGTACAAATATTCATACATCACCAAGGTAAATCAAAACCTGTCTCCTTTCCATTCGGCAATCATCACCAAGGTATTCACTATGTATCCTCATCTCATACATCACAAGGTAGGCTGTCATCAAATATTGATACATCACCAACGTTCCTGTACCCATCCTCATCAAAAGCGATACACTGATATCCATCCTTCTTTATATGTATATGGATACATCAGTGTACAGCTAAATAAAACCCAGGACCTATTCCATTCGGAAATCATCACCGGTATTCTACCATGTATCCTCTACGGTTGTCAACCAGGCCCTAGGAGCCAACACACATAACCAAGATGATGTAATAATAATGAGAATATCTACAACACGCCTTTTCCAGGCTAGATATCCTGCTCAAGGCGCACAATCTGATCATGATTACTCTGGAGAACCCAAGCTGCCTGTAAGGCGCTAGAAGGTTAATAGTCTCATGACTTATTTCACCGGGTACCCATTTTCTGCTGGGTGAACAGAGGCAATTTTGAACTAACTCACTTGCCTAAGGTGAGACCACATGGATAACATGTGCTTCGTTGTGGGGCAGGACTGAAGTCCAAGAAACTTTCAGGAGTCAAGCTGTCACACACGGTCACCCATCGAAGGGCTCTCCGCGTCATCCCTCCAGGGCCAGTGAAGGGTTTTCTCACCATCATCAACATTACGAAGCTTCAGCTCCCATCCTCTAAGTCAAGTATTTCCTTTTACTGGCAACTATGAATGATAGCAAATGGTCCTGAGAAATGTATTCTCTGCCATTTGCACACCTTTCAAACAGTGACACCTCCGTCCTTTCACCCGGACGTTTGGGGCGGTGGGGTGGTTAAAGCGTTCGCTCGTCACGACGAAACCAACTATCCACATGACAGATATAAGTTAACATATATTACATGATCCATGGTTCGTTTGGGGCATAGATGTATTGTAGCATCTTCACAGGTGGAGCAGTGGGGTAGCCTAGTGGATAAAGCTTTCGCTAGTCACGCCGAAAAGCCGGGTTTGATTCCCCACATGGGTACAATGAGTGAAGCCCATTTCTGGTGTCCTCGCCTTGATATTGCTGTAACACTGCTAAAAGCGGCTTAAAACTAAACTCACTCACTGACTCGGATGTTTGATTGTTATATTTGTTTGTTGTTGGGCGTTTCGCTCAGCTAATTCCAGTTATATGGTGACCGTCTGTAAATAATCGCATCTCCACAAGACAACCCAGATATTGACACCATGGGCACGGGTGTACGCAGAAGTAAATCACACGCTTCTCTACGTCCCATATCTGTGATTCTCTACACTCTCAGTATGAAGGGGCGGCGGGGTAACCTGGTGGGAAAATAATGCGGTTCAGGGACTATGAGACGGTATGTGTGACGGTATATGTCACGTAATTCATGCAGATGTGACGTATATCGGCTGTTGGAAAAGACCGTTAGACGCCAGTCGCGTTCAGGGTGATACCGAGTGCACACGTACATGTCTACTTGAAAATAACCTCACAGAACCCATTGAATCAAGACAAGGTTGTTTCATCATTGAGCATTATTCCGATCTAACACAGGTATGTGACGGCGGTCTATAGTCCGTTTGGCTCAAAATCGGACAGATGAATTGCAATCTAACTCGAAAACTAATAAACATATAATACTCAATGAAACGCTGATCATAATTAAAACGTCCGACCAACTCTGTGAGTTTTTTGCAGAATTTATATTCTAAAAATAAAAAAGTTGTTTAACAAACTATCATTAAAATTTTGACACAGTTCACTATTTGTTACGAGGGGGGAGTGCAGAGAAAGAGACAGCCATGTGTGCGAGAAAGGATGGAGATGGCACAGCACAGGTTAATGAATCAATAACTTGGTGGGCACTTGTGCACGTGCTTCTCTAACACCTGGATGTCCCTTTCTCTGCACTCCTCCCTCGTAACATATAGTGAACAGTGTCAAAATGTTAATGATAGTTTGTTAAACAACTTTTTTAATTTTAGAACATAAATTCTGCAAACAAACCACAGAGTTGGTCTGATGTTTTGATTATGATCAACGTTTCATTGAGTATTATATGTTTTTTAGTTTTCGAGTTGCATTGCAATTCATCGGTCCGCTTTTGATCCAAACGGACTATAGACCCATAGAATGTGTACCAGACAAACCTATGACTGACATCATCTGATCATGTAGGCAACTCACAGGACAGAATAGGCTGCTGGTGAGTGGGGACCTTCTCTAACCTTGAACTTTCACCCATGTCTTTACCTGCGTGGGACGGACGTGCATGGGGTACAACCGTTTCTTATTTGTTGAAAGGAAACGATGACAAGGTCATCTCGACCCTATACGATATAAATAAGACAACTGATAAGTGTACAGCAATGAATCAGCACAACTGGGACTCATTCGAGAACTAGGCACAGAAATGATAAAACAGGTTCCGAAAACGTATACGTGCTGATATCAAGGTAAACGGTAGTGCAAAGTTTGATTTGTCTGTGACTTTTTGTGGTATACAAATATTGATATAAACCGATAGTAGGAGAGATCTAATCCCTGGTCTTCGATAGACAGCGTCTGTCGGTGGTTCGACCCCAGTCGGCGTCTCAGCGACAGACGTTAGAATATGATAGTTTTTGTTTCCTGCTTGGTTCAATTAAACCAATGACTGAAATAATGAGCATCGATTCGTGCTATCAAAGTAACTGCAACCGTCATCGAGTAAGCAACCATGTTACAGAGTATTAAACTACGTCACAGAGTAACCAACCACGTCACAGGGTAATCGAGTAATCAACCGCGTCAAGAGTAATCAAAAACGTCACAGAGCCCGACCATCCGATATAAAATGTACTCTTGTAGCAAGCAAAAGAGTGAAACGGCCGTAATTCGGGCCCATACGAAGTCGACAAAATACAGGAGAGTTGATTCTTAGCTGTGCCACTAACGTCATGAGCGGGTCGAGTTTTGCGGCTTGTAGTGTTACCTTGATTGTCGCTTAACGCAGTCCCAGGGGTAGTCTGTCTCACAGTCCCTGAACCACATTATTTTCCCTACTGCCTAGACTTGCACAAGTCTCTAAGGTAAAAATTAATAGTTTAAATGATGATTTCTGAAAAAATAAATTACGGACTTGGGTCCTTAAACTGTCCGCTTGTAAAGACTTAAAACTTGCCTCTTCGAAGAATAGCATTACTATACATCCATCGGCTCAGTGCTCATTCAGTACAGGCTCTAAGCAAGGCTACCTACTGCCTCTCCCTCCCTGTAATGCTAAAGCCCTAAATAAAACAAGTCTATCTGAAGTTCTCATTTTACTGAGGCTCCTTTTCAATGTAAATGTTACTATCAGAATGATGTACACGTATTCAGAGACTAAGCGTTAGTCTATCTCCGCGGGTATATTGTCTGAATGGTGTTTTGTCGAGTCATCAAAGGATTTGAGGTCCCATGATGATTTGCAGTTTACAAACGACCACGGCCACTCAATCTACTTGTAGGGGCCAGGGTACGGCGTTTTCGCCTTAGCATGACACAACGAAACACTATCTCTGGGATTTATAGCTAGGAGGACCTTTCTATCACTGGTAGGTGCTTATACTTATAATGAACTAAGCGAAAGGTATGGTGTGAGTCTGTGTGTGGTGGGGAAGTGCAGGGGAATTTGTCTGGGATTGGCATCCGGAGACCCACTAACGAATGTTTAATTGAAGCAGAGTTTGATAGGATGTCAGCTGGTGTATTCAGCAGTCTGAAACGGTGTTCCATTTCTGCCTGTGCTGTCTATCTTGGAAATCTATACGCTTACACAAAATGAATCGTCATAATCATGTATCGCCTACTGACAGTGACACGTGCAATGCATTTTGGAACGCCTCAAGTAGTGCTGATTGGAACATTTGCGACACATCTTTGCATGCAAGTTCATTTACGTATACTGTAAAGTACCTTAAACTCTCAAAACTACATCTGTGAGCCTAAATGGACCCGGAAATAACTTCCCGAGAAACTTTTACGACATTACCGTTTCCGTTGACGACAGTAACAGACTCGATTATACAGACAGTCCATAATCCCACAGGCCCCCACTGCGAGTCAGAAAATCGATACACTAGGCCCCGGTTTAGTATCAACACCCCCTACTATATAATACATAAAGGTTCATCACAGAAATACGGTGACATGACCGAAAACCGGACAATTACGCACATGTCAATGAATATATCGTATTTTAAACGTCTCACAAGTATCAAAAGCTTTTGTCCATATCTCCGGTGTATGTAGGAGGCATTTACATGGGCTTTCCGTGGGGATGCATTTGATGTTTTTTATTAAATCGCCAAAGACCGAGTTGCTGTGCCGGAAGTGTACAAAACTAGCTCGTCAGCGCTTGACTTCACTACCTCCGACGATCTGATTGGCTAGCACATTACACTGAATGAATGTGTTTCTTTAAAAAATATTTGTACTCGTTTTTAAAATTATTCTTACCAAGATAAAACATCAGATAGTGACATATTGGATGATAGACGTTTGAGTTTCCCTCTCATTTTCGCACGTGCATTTGTTGTCATTTTATTAAACAATTTGATTGCGCTGACGAGCTATTGGCTAACTAAATTACTTTTTTAAAGTATGGCGGACATCATGCAATTAGTTGCCAGGTGGGCTATCTTGGGTGACCAATGGGACTATACAGTAATGTGAAATGTTGATCAAAGTGAATATGTTTAAAGTATATAAGAAACCAAATTTTATCATTAAGGTCTACATAATTTTACAACAAAATCAACATAAGATTATCGAGTAAAAAAGAGTTCATCTTTGTTGATCAGTCTGTACTTATACTATCAATTGCGCCACTCTCCTACCCAGTGTTCCATGCGGCAAGCCAGCATAGCACCTCTGCCACAGGCCAGAAAGATGTGACGATTCGTCACATCTTGCACCGTTCATTCAATATAATGTACATATTCCTTAACTCTTTTATTTTTGACGAGTCTACACATTTAATTAAACATCTTTGTTAGAATGGTTTAGTAAAATATCCTAAAACATGTAACACTATTTCGATTTGCGTAGCGATACTTTGTTTACATAGTTTGTACGGTTCCACGTGCTGTCATCGAAGCCAACAGAGAGCAAACGATGCATCCAGTTTGAGATCTAAAAATGTACTGTCATAAATGTTATTGTCGCAGTTGTGGAAGAATATATATCTAACAATGTAAAACATTGTGAAGAGCGCGCCGAAAAACTTGCGTAAGGCCAGTCTCTTCTTATTATGAATATGCGCGTTTGTTTACAAACAAGAGAAAAGTCCGGTCACGTGATATGCAAATTAGCCCGTGGCAGTGATGTTATGCTAAGTCATCACTGCGTCGGAGTGTGTCAAGTGCGCATGGGGGTGGCGCAGCAGAGGTAACGAACCAGTCAATAATTCTGGGGATATCATCCGGGTACTCACTGGAGAAAAACAATAACAAAAGCAACAACCAGTCCACGGTCATTGCTCTGGATCAGTGGCCCTTTAAGGGTAGTTTTAAGACGATGTGGTTGTTTTTTTTATACTCAAAGTACTCCGTTACAAGAAACCTAATGCTGCCAATTTTGCAGCATAAACTAATTTTTGCAGTATATATCGTTGCTTCGACTATTTGGACGGTGCTTGGGAGTATTTTGTTTGGCTGACATATTTCATCGTATCCCAATTGCATAGATCGATGCTCATGCTGTTGATCACTGGATTAAAGCTGGTCTGGTCCAGACTCGATTATTTACAGACCTCCGCCATATAGCTGGAATATTACTGACTGCGGCGTTAAGATATGGATCACCATCTGCCACGGGTTCCCTACGATAAAGTAGTCTACGATTTTCGGTACGATTGTTTAGGCATCGTTGGTGACCGCGGGCTACGACGTTTGTCTTCACATTGTCTACGGGCATCTTGCAATTTCCTTGGGGACAGGCCGAGGCAGTCCTGCATGGAGGCTGCACAGAATTCGTACGAAGATCTTACGGAGATCTTACGGAGCTCGTACGGTCTCCGCAGCTACTGCACCGACATCGTAGGGAGTCCTTACTTGCGGCATCCCTCCGGAGGCTGAGCGGAGAAAGTACGGTGATCGTGCAGTTGTGGTGCGGTTTTTAGGCCTAGAGTCAGCCTCTCGAGCATCTCTCGGAACATGGGTGGTCCGATTCTGAGGTAGGCTTTGAGGTCCCCAGGCGACTCTCACATTAACTCCTGCATCAGAGTGTCGTAATGTCCCAGTTTGACCCGTCTCAGTTTCATCCATACTGTTCTTTCTCTGAGCACCTGACGGGCCTGCTCCTCCAAGAGGGCCAGAGTTACAACGTTGGTCTGTTCCCCTTCTTCTGATCCGCCTCAAGTGTCACTGGAAGTTAGCTGCTCTGAGCCTCGGGGGTGGTATTAACGGCATCTTCTTCTTTGACGTCTTGGACCTCTCTCATGAACTGAGACAAATGGCAGAACTGCTGGGGATTGCCAATATGTATACCCATACATGGTAAAAATGATTGGTCCATCTCAAGGCTATGTTGGGATGACCGCACAGTATCCTAAGGTTCACTGAAAAACGAGGAGGTGTTTGAGAATGCAAAAATTAATACCACCAATGTAGAAATCTGTACCTATACAATATAACCAATCCGTCGTCAGCTGTCATGGTTGCTCATTTCTGTAAATATTTATATTTATAGTTCATACTTTCCAGTTTTGGATGTTAAGGGAATATATCTCATACATGAAGCATAACCGTGAGTATGTTAAATATAACTGGATGTCATTTTAAAGATGTAACAGATTGACAGAATTTTGATATATGCTAGTGAGTGAATGAGTGAGTTTAGTTTTACGCTGCTTTTATTCCAGTTGTATGATGGCAGGATGCAAATGATAAGGCTGCAACAATTTGTTTGTTGTTTAACGCCGCACTCAGCAATATTCAAGCAGCACGGCGGCGGTCTGTAAATAATCGAGTCTGGAACAGACAATCCAGTGATCAAGATCATGAGTATCGATCCACGCAACTGTGATACGATGACATGTGTAAACCAAGTCAGCGAGCCTGACCAATCCATCCAATCAGCGATTGTCATATTGTACCTTGAGTAACATCCAGTGTTGATTACACATAGCTGCTGTTATAGCATCCCCTCCGTTGTTCATAATATGTTTTCAGTTATGAGTAAAAAACTAAGGTAAAACATTAAATTTCGGCTAATGTTCCATGCATATCTCTTTCAAAGCAACAAATCAGAACCTAATGTGAAAACGCTATATCAATCTCACCTTCAGTCACTTAACCCTAAATCCTACACTTTATTTCACCGAAAGTAACAGCAGAAAAAGGATCTGGATACAAAAAGAAAACCTCCGGTTTTATGAAAACAAAATGGCGGACCCAACGAAACCTCTTCCTGTTTTGGCTTACAAAACTGTATACACAGGACAGCTAAACTGGTATTATGACATGTATGCGCGGTTGAACAGAAACGTCTTTTCTTCCAGGTTCAAGATGTACATGAAGACTATAGTGATCAGTGTACTGGCGCTGCTGGTGCTTCAACACGCCGTAAAGCTCTGGTAAGTATTTCTCGAGCTGTCGGGCGGTGGGGTTAAGTTGAGTTCGGCTTTACGTCACATTGGCATTATTCCAGCCATATAGTGACGGGGCGTTGGGGTAGCGTAGTGGTTAAAGCGTTCGCTCGTCAGGCCAAAGACCAGGGTTCGATTCCCCACATGGGACAATGTATGAAGCTCATTTCTGGTGTCCACCGCCGTGATATTGCTGCAACACTGCTAAGAGCGGCGTAAAACCATACTCACTCATTCAAGCTGTCCATATCAAACCTCCATCCACACTACAGAGACATCAAATTTGAAGCCAGAGTTAACGAGGAGCCCACCTATCCTACAAATGGGTAAGGCCCACCTTCAGAGCATTTAGATTTTAAGATACTTCATTGTCGTGTGGGTGTTGTTACAACGGCAGCCGATCACACTGAAGTTGATGGCCAACCTAGGCACGTCCCCAACTATCAAATGGATTTGATGTCGCTTAACTAGTCCGAATTATACCACCATGGGTTAGCGAAATGGGTTAGCATGTGCCTCACTGCCAAAAATTTCCAGTGAGTTGGGTGCCGCATTTAACTGTGCAGAGTTACTTCCCCAGTCTGTGCCAAGATGTCATCACCGACTGAGCTTTAATCCTGGATTAAATGACTAGTTAGTACTGATCCATAACGTTGTGTTTCACTGAAGGGAATCAACCTGGCAACCATCTCATCAGTTAATGTCAGCACTGCGACAATGATTGTATATACTCATGGAAACAAATAAGGGACACTTGAAAGTACATTTTGTACAAGTGTTCCTTTATTCTTTGTCAGGTTTCTTCACAGGGTATGTATTGCACTGTGGTTGAAATTCTGGAAATAAATAAAGGAACAGTTGTACTTTCATGTGTTTATTCGTTTCTATGAGTATATATTAAACATTAACTACCGATAATATAAAGTCTTTTTTACTTGCCAAACAGATAAGAGATTTCCTTGGGCGTAAAGGATAAGTATTGGTGAAATATGAATGGACAACTGACAGATCGGGGATGACACCAGGTGTTCTTGTTCAAACAAACACACAATTTCCATCAAAATGCTTCTGCGATGAATGAGAGGAATGCAATCACAGAAAGTGATGCATGACCTCTTTTAACAGGAGATGGTAGTTTTCCCAACACATTAAACTGACTCTAAGTGACAAAAATAATATCCTAAGCCCTACACAATCACTCCACAAAGACTGGGTCGAATACATATTTTCTACTTGTGGAAACTGAGCACTATTCACTCCTTTTTTGTGTATGTTTTAGTTTCAAGCTGGATTACCACAAACACATCTTCAACCATTACCCTGGACCATGCCACCAGGTTCAAGGAATGGGTAAGCTATTGTATCCTACTTTTACACGCTTGTCTCATCGCACCAAGCTCCAGGCAGCTCGGGGTACAAACAGTTCCTCTTCCTGAGGAGTCGACAATGACAACACCACCTGCCCGCCGCATGCCGCATAGAGAAGTTGGGAGGTCCTGGCACAGTCGGACTCGTTCGGCTCATCATCAGCTTTGGTACCCTTGTCCCCTCTACACGCAGCCCAGACAACCAGTGGGACTTCTCCCAGAGACATCTGGTCGAACAAACCAAGAACTTTCCGGAGAATTTGTAGACACTACAGCCTTCTGCATTACCCAGTGTGTTAGAAGGACTGTGCTCCCGATGGAGAACCAGAGCACTCTCCTGATCTGCGTCAAAAGATCAGGAGGTACCAAGTCAAGGGCACCGAGAACAATGGGGAGCCTGACAACGGTGTACTTGGGATGCAGGCCGAGGCCCGCATATTTGCCATGTATTTCATGAGTACCGTCAATCGCATTACAGTCAAAAGTGAAAGAAAATTCAATGATATACACAATCACTTTGGTTTCATAAAAACGGGCAAGTTTCATGGCTTGGCTTGGCTTCCACTGACTAGATGTTATACAGTCTTTTATTATCATTTCAGGTATTGGCTCTGAAGACATGCACTTGATTGACAATGGTACCGTGTTCATTTCATCAGTAAGTGTAAATCTTAGAATGAAAATGTCGTGAAATTAATGCAAGTAACCACCTTCGAAATTTAAATACACCATCTCATTAATCAGCCTTTGAAGAAACGATGTGGCTACACAAACCGTAGACGGATCTACGGTGAACAAGAGCACTCCCTATATAATGAGAAAGTGAAATGCGGTACAACCAGTTCACAACGTAGTCACGTGACTCAAGTCACGGAGATGTTAAATATACGAGATATATGCTTCAGAGCCAGCAGTATTACAGAACGACCTGATGACCACAATGGTCCGGTTGGAAAAAAACGAGGTCTGGAATGGATGGTGACGCAGAAGATATTTGTTTAGTTTTTGGTATTTCCCAAGATATATTCTTTTCAACGATCAATTGGTTTTATTAAAAACTTGTACATAATGAAAAACAGTTTTTTGTGAACCCAAGCCGCTAAGGTAGTCATGGTATGATCACATTTGTCCAGCTGGAAAAACGAGGTCTGGATGATGAACCAGAAGATGACACGCATATGTTTTTAAAGCTTTTGTTATTTTCCAAGATTTATTCTCTTTTACGATCAACTTGTTTGAATTAAATACTTGGGAAAGCAGTTCTTTGTGACCCCAATCCAGGTAGTCAAGGTATGAGTGTGTTGGCGACTGTAATGAGCGAGCATGGCTGTGTTGATGCAGAATGAAAGTAATATGAACGTTTCAAGGGATATCGGCTTCAAGGAAACTCACCAGCCTATGACAAGTTCTACTCCGAGAACAATGTCACGGGCAGAATCTATCTGTTCGACATGAACAACCCCAAGAAGGAGGTCCAGGAGATGAGCCTGACTTCCACCAAGGAGTTCGACAAGGAGAGGTTTCAGCCCCATGGTATTAGTGCGTGGGAAGACAAAAAAACAGGTGGGTGGACAGGTGTTTGCAAGGCATCAGTGATGTTTTCAGTTTCTATTTTTATCAGTTCTTCAAATACACTAGTTTCTTATGTTCCCAGGAGCTTCAGTGATACGTAGAGGTGTTATCAGGAGATAGGAACAAATTTTGGTTCTTATAAATAATAGTCCATAAGCGACTCTTGTATTTCTTATCGGGTCCCCAGAGACGTTTTCGGTTCTTAACAGATAATTTCAATTTTCATGGGAAGACACTTCCATTTCTTATCATTTTTTAGAGACACTTACAGTTCTTACTGGGTCTGTATTTCAAAGAAGGTTGAATTCCTTCCACGGGTAAGAAAGGTTATGAAAGACCAGTGTCAAAAGCGTATGGCTTATTGAATGGTACTGTTTTGCTTGGAGATGGGGTATTTGATTGTATTCGATGTGGAGATCTACATATGTAAGTTAAACATTATATCCAGCTTTGATGTGTCAATGTGACACACTGTGAAGGAAATGTGCGAGGAATGATCTTATGAAATATTGTTCTTAGGAAAATTGTATCTGTATGCTGTTAATCACGAGAGAGATGGAGAGGAGAAAATAGAGAAATTCCTGGTGTCTGTGGCCAAGCTGTCTCTTCAACATCTCAAATCCTACTTTGGAGATCCAACAATAAGAAAGTATGTGGAAAGTTTTACATATAGTTGGTGAGTTTGTGATTGAGTCTTACGTCTTGAGAACAGTTAAGAAAGAGAGAGATTTGCTCATTGCCACCAGTGATGTTTGGTCACCGCTTGATCACTGCGTGTCAGCTTGTAGTTGGAGGAAAGCTGATACTGTTCGTGGACGCTTACCACTTTGATGAAACCCACGAGCCACTCTGGGACTTGAACACATGACCATATGTTCCTGCCACGGTCAAGCGACGCAACTCTGCATTTGCGAATTAATGCCTTTGGGAGACCTGGTAACTACTGCCCCGAAAAGTCCTTGAACTCAGGGATGCTATACAATGGCAAAGACTAAAAGACCACTTGATGAGTGAGTCAGTGAGTCAGTTTAGGTTTACCCCGCTTTTAGCAATATTCCAGCAATAGCATGGCGGGGGACACCAGAAATGGGCATCACACATTGTACTCATGTGGGGAATCGAACCCGGGTCTTCGGCGTGACGAGCGAAGTTTTAGGCTACCCCATCGCCCCTCAGACCACTTGATGAAATCAAGGACATTCCCCATACTGAACTTACTTATCGGCGCTGTAATGTTTCTTGCCAGAATGAACGACGTCGTTGCCACCGGTGATGACAGCTTCTACTTCACTAACTCCCACACTTTCGGAAGTAACGCTGGACTCTTGCTGGAGCTGATTTCTCTCATGGCTTTGTCTGACGTCGGCGTCCATGACGGCAAAGGATACCGCACAGTAGCAGATGGAATCTCCGTGGCCAACGGTATACAGATGTCTCGGGATGGAAAGTAAGTTCATCCTCAGCCTTATACAGCACTGATATTCCAATTCAAACATATATTTCGCCGTGGTAAATTTATCCAAATAGTTAATAGTGTTTTGTGCTATGGTTGTTTCTAACAGCTCCATATAAATAGTTTTAGCATTCGAAAAGTTTTAAGTGCCGGAACTCGCAGTACAGAATCGTCTCCCCAAGAATCTGTCCAGTGGGATGACACTACATTGAATGGCCGTTTATCTCTCCATTGCATGTTGATCCATGTCGATTTCCACATTGGAACAATCAGTTAACCCAGGAATTAGTACCCGAAGAATTCAGCGTGGAAGCCAAAGAGAATTATTATACAATTATTAATTGTAATATGACATTAACTAATTTGCACGCATCAATACAAATTATTTAATACAGACTAGTTTACAGTGACAATGCAGATTAGAGTTGACATATATATTTTAGTTGCAGTACAATGACAGAATAGACATTATGTAATAACATTGGTGATGAGTGAGTGAGTGAGTTTAGTTTTACGCCGCACTCAGCAATATTCCAGCTATATGGCGGCATATTCTGTACTGTAGGGGTTTAATAATGCTGTTCTAAAATTTCCAGTTTACTCATGACGCCTTGTCAAATATAGTAACTTGTTCACATCTGTTCTCTTTGAATCTTATCAGAAATAATGCTATACATTATAACATTGCTTTACTAAGTTAATCAAATTGAAACTTTGATCAGTATACTTCAGAACAAGTTTGATTTAGGTGTGAATCCCACATTCTGCTGACCACGTTAGTTCACCATTACGGAAACATGTGACATCATCCATAGTATCATGATGTCATCCGTTGACGTCATAGGATGTACACTATATATGTGTCAACTGCAAGACATACATCTAGCTACTCTAACCACGACAGCGTTGTGTTTCAGGTACGTCTTCGTCGCAGGCAGCATGGGACATGATTTGAAGATCTACGAGAGAAGGAACGATAATTCCCTAACCTTGAAGCAGGTACGCTAATGAATCAGTTGTATAGCGGATAAATTAACAGTAATAAACATTTTATCGTATTATATACAAAACATATTCGCCGGGAAACGCTTGGGTTATTAGATTATTTACTCCACGAAAGACGGGGGTGAGTGAGTAAGGATTTACGCCGTTTTAAGCAATATTCCAGCAATATCACGGCGGGGGACACCAGATATGGGCTTCACACACTGTACCCATGTGGAGAATCGAACCTTGGTCTTCGGCGTGACGAGCGGACGCTTTAACTATCAGGCTACCCCACCGCCGCGGGGTTGTGTTTTTTGTCGCCAGACAGCCCACGTCCATTTTCAACAGCCCTCAGACTTTTTGTTGATGATCTTTCACTCCAATGACTTCAGAGAGCCATTCCCCACCTCATAGTTTTGGTAAGGTGCCGAACCCACGTAACATAACAACGTAGACGCGTTTTAAGCGTTAAGTTAAAAGTAGGAAGCATTCTATCAGTGGAACATAAACTTCAAGGGAAACAGTCGTACGATTCTTATGAAGAAGTGAGCTGATCATGTTTGTTTTTTAAATAACTCCCCCTCGGTGACAAAGAAATGGGATGACAATGTCGTAATGCTATCAACCTTTATGCATCACCTTTCTTTCCTAGTCGTATGTCTTCCACTCGTTCCCTGACAATATCATGGAGGACCCAGTATCCGGGGATTTGTATATCGCCTTCCATCCTATCGGACATCTTTTGTTTCATCACTTTGTGGATCATTCTTTAGAAGCACCATCCCAGGTACGAATGTCACTTAGACGTCGAGGTTTTTATACGTAGTTTGTTGCTTGTAGACTGTTTGTATTTCCTTGAGATCAGTAAGTGGATAGCGATGTTTTGGAAACCATTTCCTGAAAAAAATTAATTTGGCCCTAGGGCATTTATTTTCAAAAAAGGACAATTGTTAATTGAACATTTGTTGTGGTTCTTTTGACTCTTTCTTTCACACCTTGTACGTCCACATGTTGAACCCGTGATAGAATTGGTCTTCAGCAACCCATGCTTGTTGTCTGAGGCGACTAACGGGATCGGATGGTCACTGGTCAGGCTCGCTGATTTTGTTGACACATGTCATCGTATCTCAGCTGCATAGATCGATGCGCATGAGGTCACTCATTAGATTGTCTGATCCAGACTCAATTATATACATAGCTGAGCCTAGAATTTCGAAGCTCTTTAAGCGCTAAGATAGTCGTAAGTGCCATACATTAACATTAACTTACGACAATCTTAGCGCTAAGAGAGCTTCGAAAATCTAGGCCCTGGAATATTGCTGAGCGCGGCGTCAAACAACAAACACACACATTGGACTTTGACCTAGACTTGGCTGTCACGTGTTCCAGGTCCTGCAGGTGAAACTGAAGGAAGGGACGGTGTCCTCGGTGACGGAACTGTTTGTTGATGACGGACACCTGGTGTCGGGCTCATCAGTTGCAGTTGTGTACAAGAAGAAGATGCTGATTGGCTCCGTGATTAACAAACTCGTGTATTGTGATGTAACTGTGCCCCTTTAAAATGTAGAAATATTTAAAATTCTTAGAGCTTTTAACTTGCATATTTTCATAATAAAAGCGAAAAAAACACACTTCTAAAGCACGCTTCATATAATATTCATATGTTTATGAATCGCTTTCAAATACTGATGATAGTGGTTGCGTTCATAAACACACGCAGAGGCGCGGTAACCTACCTGAACCAACACGGGTTGTGGGAAACAAAAGGCTGAAGCTGTATGGCTCGACATACAGGGACATATCACCACGGCAAAGATCCCCGGTCACCCCTGTTGTCATACGCTTTTAGATATATGATTATCACCCTGAATATTTATTCATAGAGGGGTAATTATAAGTCAGTGAAACAGAATTAACTATCAACTTATTTAACACCGTCTGAAAGTCACGAATGATGCATTACTGTCGAGTGATAGCAATTCTTAACAATTACATATTATATCTTTAGCAATAACTGTAGTTAATTACCTGTAAGGAAAACATTAGGCAACCAATTCCACTCATCGTTTGTGAGGACGGTGGGGTAGCCTTGTCGTTAAAGCATTCGATTCCTCACATGAGTACAATGTGTGAAGCCCATTTCTGGTGTCCCCCGCCGTGATATTGCTGGAATATTGCTAAAAAATGGCGTAAAACCCTACTCACTCACTCACTCATTGATTGTGATGCGTGATACGTATACGATGGGACTACAACTTGAGAGGTAACTTCAAGAGGCAGGGAAAGATAATATAAAATATAATGTGGAGTTAACATAGAAAACACCCAAATAATCAGCTGACAATTCACAACTGACACAAGCGTTAGTGAGTGAGTTTAGCTTCACGCACCTTTTAGCAATATCAGGGCGGGGGACACCAGAAATTGGCTTCACACATGGTACCCATGTGGAGATTCGAACATACATCACCAAGGTTACAGTACCCATCCACATCAAATATTCATACATCACCAAGGTTACAGTACCCATCCACATCAAATATCGATACATCACAAAGGTTACTGTACCCATAGTCATCAAATATTCATACATCACAAAGGTTACTGTACCCATCGTCATCAAATATTCATACATCACCAAGGTTACTGTACCAATCGTCATCAAGTATTGATACATCACCAAGGTTACTGTACCCATTCTCATCAAATATTCATACATCACAAAGGTAATTGTACCCATAGTCATCAAATATTCATACATCACCAAGGTTACTGTACCCATTCTCATCAAATATTAATACATCACAAAGGTTATTGTACCCATCGTCATCAAATATTCATACATCACAAAGGTTACTGTACCCATCGTCATCAAATATTCATACATCACAAAGGTTACTGTACCAATCATCATCAAGTATTGATACATCACCAAGGTTACTGTACCCATCCACATCAAATATTCATACATCACAAAGGTTATTGTACCCATAGTCATCAAATATTCATACATCACAAAGGTTACTGTACCCATCGTCATCAAATATTCATACATCACAAAGGTTACTGTACCAATCGTCATCAAGTATTGATACATCACCAAGGTTACTGTACCCATTCTCATCAAATATTCATACATCACAAAGGTTACTGTACCCATCCTCATCAAATATTAATACATCACAAAGGTTACTGTACCCGTCGTCATCAAATATTCATACATCACCAAGGTTACTGTACCCATCCCTCATCAATATTCATACATCACCAAGGTTACTGCACCCATCGTCATCAAATATTCACATCACAAAGGTTACTGTACCCATCGTCATCAAGTATTGATATCACCAAGGTTACTGTACCCATCGTCATCAAATATTCATACATAACAAAGGTTACTGTACCCATCGTCATCAAATATTCATACATCACCAAGGTTACTGTACCAATCGTCATCAAGTATTGATACATCACCAAGGTTACTGTACCCATTCTCATCAAATATTCATACATCACAAAGGTTACTGTACCCATCCTCATCAAATATTAATACATCACAAAGGTTACTGTACCCGTCGTCATCAAATATTCATACATCACCAAGGTTACTGTACCCATCCTCATCAAATATTCATACATCACCAAGGTTACTGTACCCATCGTCATCAAATATTCATACATCACAAAGGTTACTGTACCCATCGTCATCAAGTATTGATACATCACCAAGGTTACTGTACCCATCGTCATCAAATATTCATACATCACCATAGTTACTGTACACCATCGTCATCAAATATTGATACATCACCAAGGTTACTGTACCCATCGTCATCAAATATTCATACATCACAAAGGTTACTGTACCCATCGTCATCAAATATTCATACATCACCAAGGTTGCTGTTATTGTACCAATCGTCATCAAGTATTGATACATCACCAAGGTTACTGTACCCATTCTCATCAAATATTCATACATCACAAAGGTTACTGTACCCATCCTCATCAAATATTAATACATCACAAAGGTTACTGTACCCGTCGTCATCAAATATTCATACATCACCAAGGTTACTGTACCCATCCTCATCAAATATTCATACATCACCAAGGTTACTGTACCCATCGTCATCAAATATTCATACATCACAAAGGTTACTGTACCCATCGTCATCAAGTATTGATACATCACCAAGGTTACTGTACCCATCGTCATCAAATATTCATACATAACAAAGGTTACTGTACCCATCGTCATCAAATATTCATACATCACCAAGGTTACTGTACCAATCGTCATCAAGTATTGATACATCACCAAGGTTACTGTACCCATTCTCATCAAATATTCATACATCACAAAGGTTACTGTACCCATCCTCATCAAATATTAATACATCACAAAGGTTACTGTACCCGTCGTCATCAAATATTCATACATCACCAAGGTTACTGTACCCATCCTCATCAAATATTCATACATCACCAAGGTTACTGTACCCATCGTCATCAAATATTCATACATCACAAAGGTTACTGTACCCATCCACATCAAGTATTGATACATCACCAAGGTTACTGTACCCATCGTCATCAAATATTCATACATCACCATAGTTACTGTACCCATCGTCATCAAATATTGATACATCACCAAGGTTACTGTACCCATCGTCATCAAATATTCATACATCACAAAGGTTACTGTACCCATCGTCATCAAATATTCATACATCACCAAGGTTACTGTACCAATCGTCATCAAGTATTGATACATCACCAAGGTTACTGTACCCATTCTCATCAAATATTCATAGATCACAAAGGTTACTGTACCCATCCTCATCAAATATTAATACATCACAAAGGTTACTGTACCCGTCGTCATCAAATATTCATACATCACCAAGGTTACTGTACCCATCCTCATCAAATATTCATACATCACCAAGGTTACTGTACCCATCGTCATCAAATATTCATACATCACAAAGGTTACTGTACCCATCGTCATCAAGTATTGATACATCACAAAGGTTACTGTACCCATCGTCATCAAATATTCATACATCACCATAGTTACTGTACCCATCGTCATCAAATATTGATACATCACCAAGGTTACTGTACCCATCGTCATCAAATATTCATACATCACAAAGGTTACTGTACCCATCCTCATCAAATATTCATACATCACCAAGGTTACTGTACCGATCGTCATCAAATATTGATACATCACCAAGGTAACTGTACCCATCGTCATCAAATATTCATACATCACCAAGGTCACTGTACCCATCGTCATCAAATATTGATACATCACCAAGGTAACTGTACCCATCCTCATCAAATATTGATACATCACCAAAGTAACTGTACCCATCCTCATCAAATATTGATACATCCCGAAGGTTATTGTACCCGTCCTCATCAAATATTGATACATCACCAAGGTTACTGTACCGATCGTCATCAAATATTGATACATCACCAAGGTAACTGTACCCATCGTCATCAAATATTGATACATCACCAAGGTCACTGTACCGATCGTCATCAAATATTGATACATCACCAAGGTAACTGCACCCATCCTCATCAAATATTGATACATCACCAAGGTCACTGTACCCATCGTCATCAAATATTCATACATCACCAAGGTAACTGTACCCATCCTCATCAAATATTGATACATCACCAAGGTCACTGTACCGATCGTCATCAAATATTCATACATCACCAAGGTCACTGTACCGATCGTCATCAAATATTGATACATCACCAAAGTAACTGTACCGATCGTCATCAAATATTGATACATCCCGAAGGTTATTGTACCCGTCGTCATCAAATATTGATACATCACCAAGATTACTGTACCGATCGTCATCAAATATTGATACATCACCAAGGTAACTGTACCGATCATCATCAAATATTGATACATCACCAAGGTAGCTGTACACATCGTCATCAAATATTGATACATCACCAAGGTAACTGTACCCATCCTCATCAAATATTGATACATCACCAAGGTCACTGTACCGATCGTCATCAAATATTGATACATCACCAAGGTTACTGTACCGATCGTCATCAAATATTTATACATTGTCATGATACAATTTTGATACATCAGTACCTCTACTCAGACGTAAATAAAAAAAACTGTCTCCTTTTCAATCGGCAGTCATCACCGGTATTCTACTATGTATCCTCTACGGTTGTCAACCAGGCCCTAGGAGCCAACACACATAACCAAGATGATGTAATAATAATGAGAATATCTATAACATGCCTTTTCCAGGCTAGATATCCTACTCAAGGCGCACAATCTGATCATTATTACTCTGGATAACCCTAGCTGCCTGTAAGGCGCTAGAAGGTTGATAGTCTCATGACTTATTTCACCGGGTACCCATTTTCTGCTGGGTGAACAGAGGCAATTTTGAACTAACTCACTTGCCTAAGGTGAGACCACATGGATAACATGTGCTTCGTTGTGGGGCAGGACTGATGTCCAAGAAACTTTCAGGAGTCAAGCTGTCACACACGGTCACCCATCGAAGGGCTCTCCGCGTCATCCCTCCGGGACCAGTGAAGGGTTTTCTCACCATCATCAACATTACGAAGC